AAAAACAATGTATCCAAACAAACTGAAAAGAAATTATATACAATGAACACTTTAATCAATATCAGCTTTAAACAGCTTAGACTGGTTTAAACTAAAAAGGAATTATATACAATGAACACTTCAATCAATATCCTGGAAACAAATTAACTAAATGTCTTAAGTCAGTTAAAATTAAAATGGAATTAATTCGATGACAAAATTTAGTAGTCAATGTCCCGAAAATAGTTTATACAAGTACCTTAAGTTGGTTAAAATTGAAATTGAATTATATCCGATAAAAACTTCCATCAATAGTCTGAATTTATTTTATCCTAGTAGCTTAATTAGGTTAAATGCAGTCAATGTTAGTCAATTCAGTCAATAAAATGGACGTGTATAACTTAATGAATCTTTCACATTTCTTAACTTAACTTACATTATAAGTTTTATAAGTTTTTTCTTTAAGTCATTGATGGTACATCCAATCACTGATTAAAATTCCAATAAAATTATATCCGATAAAAACTTCAATCAATATTTTGAAGATAGATCTTCCAAGTAGCTTAAATAGGTTATAATTGAAAGAAAATTATATTCGGTAAAAACTTTAGTCCTTTGAAATTGTTTATTCAAATAATTTAAGTAAGTTAAATTAAATTGAATTTTTAACAATTTAACATTTAACACATTTTTTAGCTCGCGTTGTAAGCTTTTTGTTTTCTTTCAAGTTATGACTGATAAAAAATTAGATCATATCTAATACCCTGATATCATATCAATATTCTGAAAATAGTTGTATCGCTCTTCCTAAACAAACATCTAAAGAACAGAAACTTAAACTTGCCCTGCATACAGTAACCAAATCTATAGAACACTTAAAAATAAAAATTTAACCTAGAAACATATGAGTTCATGTTAGAATTTTGTATTTACAGTTCAAGGACTTGCAATTTATATTAACAGTATTGAATTAATCTCAATACATTTTAATTTGTAATCTGACAGTTATATATATATGGTATACATGCTCTACAGCAAGCACCTAGCTCAGTCAGTGATACTCTTATTCTTCTGATTTTTCAGAATCATTTTTTGACTTCAATGTCAAGATCTATGGATCACAGATCACAGTGAAGATCCAGCTTACTTCTGCAAATCTGAAAATCAATTTTTTACTATACTTACATGATTAACAGGAATACTTATAGTGCTTTATATAGATCTGTTTATTTTATGTAGTTACAAGATCTAAAATAATGTTGATAGGAAAGACCTTGACCAGTCAGTGATACTCATATCCTTATTTTTACTTTCAATGCTAAAATCTAAACAAATTTTAATAGTGAGAACCCTCCTACCAAAAATTTATAGCTCGATCTTTATCCTGTTAAATAAACAACAGGAATTCTAATAGTGAAGACCTACACTTATGACTGCATAGCCTGATTTTTGCTTACACATCCTTGCACAAAGTGATGTTATGAATTAATATTTTATTAATGATCCATAATTGATACATATTCTATATTTTAATAAAGAAAACATGCATCTATAGGCATAACAAAATGTTTTTTTTTTAATAAATCTTTTTAACTATATTTCATTTACTGCACCTTACTAGATATTTCCTTTGCACCCTTCACCAAAAAACCCACTTTTTTGGTAGCAAATTTCCCTAATAAAGAAGAAATCAACTCGGTTTAATATTAAAAACTCTTTTAAACCATAATTCTTCGTACTTCACTTTTTTTTTTAAATAACTTAATAAAATAGAAATAAAAATCTAAACGGCTTAGTGAACACTTAGTTTTCTATTATTTTTCACACAACAATAAATAATAATCAAATCTAATTTGCTAATAATCAAATCTGCACCACGTATATTAGAATTACAAGCTGCAAGTACTTAAACACACAAATCATTTATTTAATTATATTTTATTTAAAATAAAAATAGTTTTGTGTCTACTTAACTTAACTAAACGTATGCGATACTCTTTACATAACTATAAATATATATGCTTTACATATAATTTTGTGAACTATACGTGCTTCTTGTAATTAAAATCGACTTTTCACTTAATATATAATCGAGCCAATATATAAACGGTTCTTACGTATAATGCATAAAAATATAACTAAAACGTACCTTTATATACCTAAAAATAAACATATACTCGTTGCCATTACATATATATATTTATATATATATATATATATATATATATTTACAATATATTTAGTTCCATTAGGTTTATGTAGAGAATTCGATTTTGAGTTTTATCTAGTAAATATATTTCATTAGCTGAGACAATACTGGGTCGACATAGTACCATGGATATACGTTCAATACATTTGGGTGGTCTATTTCATGCTGAAGAAGAAATTCAAATGACATCTACAATGCCCAATTTCGTTGGTCAAATGCAAGGTTTCACTTTCAATGGAGAAAGGTTTGCTTTTTATCATATAATTAATAAATAAAAAATATTACAATGTATAACAAACCGATTTACATATAAAATAGATATATAGACATTGTGAAGAACCTTGGTCCTGAATTATCAGCATTGCCAAGCGCTACATTTAAATTGACCGCACGTTTTGTAAACTCACCACCGGGAAATCCTTACCATGCAGCAACATTTAGGTCCAAGCATTCATACGTTGGTCTACCAATGCTGAAAGCATATTCAAGCATATCGGTAGACTTTCGTTTTAAAACTGTTGAACCCAATGGTTTGTTGCTATTTAACGGTGGACGACGTAATGACTTTGTCTCAATTGAACTCGTAAATGGTCACATACATTACACGTTCGATTTGGGCGATGGGCCAATCACAATGCGTGATAAGTCCCGTATACATATGAACGACAATCGTTGGCATCAAGTAAGCATAAGCAGACCAGGTCCTAAAACCCATACGCTCACTGTAGATGATTCGTTTGAAATCGTAACATTAACTGGCAATAGCATGCATTTGGAACTTGCCGGCATACTTTATATAGGTGGTGTTTTTAAAGATATGTATGCAAAACTACCGGCCTCGATATCCTCACGTTCCGGTTTTGAGGGTTGTTTAGCTTCTCTCGATTTAGGCGATACCTCACCATCGCTGACTAGTGATGCCGTAGTACCAAGTTCATTGGTGGTGACTGGTTGTGAAGGGCCTACAAAGTGTAGTCAGAATGCTTGCGCAAATAGAGGTGTCTGTGTACAACAGTGGAATGCTTATGCGTGCGAATGTGATATGACTTCCTACACTGGTCCTACTTGTTATGATGGTAATTATATAAAGAATTTTTTTTGAATACTACTACTTTATATATTTACATTATAATTTGTTATATATGACAAATATTTATTTTATTTTATAACAGAATCCATTGCTTATGAGTTTGGCAACAATAAAGGCATCATACAGTACACATTCCCTGAAAATACGCAAGCTGATACAGAAGAGGATAACCTAGCCTTGGGTTTTATCACAACAAAATCTGATGCTGTATTGTTACGTATCGAAAGCGCCACAACTCAAGACTATATGGAATTGGAAATAGTTGAAGGAAATATATTTATGGTTTATAATATAGGTACTCGGGACTTACCGCTGGGTGAAATTGGTACGAAAGTAAATGACAACACATATCATGTGGTACGCTTTACAAGAGTTGGTGGTAATGGCACATTACAATTAGATGATTATAATGTGCAAACATTAAGTCCACAGGGTAAGAGAAAAATTGTATTGCTATGATATTTAATAGAATCTCAAATTTATATTGTGTTATCAATAGGTCATCAATCAACTGTATTTAATACAATGGCAAATATACAAGTCGGTGGAAAGTTTAGTCGAACTGGTCGTAATCGTATTGATCGTCCTTTTGCTGGTGTTATAGCCGGTTTATCGGTGAACAAGTTACGCATATTGGACCTGGCTGTGGAGAGAGATCCACATATAACTATACGAGGAGATGTTCAATTGGTAACTGGAGTATTAGATAGAAATGATCTGCAAAGAATGCAGCAGGTTAGGGAATTTATTTTAAAATAATTTGAAATCTCTTCAATTTTCAAGTATCTTCATCGTAAAAGTTTCAAAAATCAATATTAAAAAAAAATTTATTTGCATATTATGAACCATGCTTAAAGCTTAGATTTTTGTTATTATTATAATTACAAATAGATTAGACATAAGAAAAGGCATAGATCTATTTATATCAGCAAGAATATGAAATTTTATTAAATTAATCTGCATTTTCTTCCAGAGTGACAGTTCCTGGAATAGTTAGATAAGGTTATGTTATGTTAAGTTTAAAAGGTGTGTGTTAATGCAAATACATTTACTCGTAGACAACTATTGTCCTACGCCCTTAAAGTTCTCAGAAGGAGGTAAACTATATTAATTATTGTTTAGGGTTCTGCTCTGAAATTTGAATTCGCGCGTATTGAAGTATTTCTATGATATAATGAAATATAGTTTTAGATATCTTTAGACATCTAATTTCTTACATGCTTGAAAATATTTTATATTTAACGCTTTTAGATATAGAGAATATTTAAAATGTAAGATTTTGATATGAAAACATTATTGCTAATATATATAATCTATTAAAGTCAAATTGCATCAATTAAAAACAACATTTTGTTTTTCAATGTAGACTTCTTTCCAGTTAAAGCTTTTGATCCAATAACTCTAACTTTTTCAAGCCGTCTAAATAATAATTTTTTTTAATCCCCTAAATTAAACATTGGATCGTTTATTAGACGCTTTCTGCTAATAAACATATTTTCATTTAACGATTTATTCTGATTTGGAAATAAAAAAATATTACTTGGAGTTAAAAATAGAAACCAAGTGATGGGGAAGCAATTCGCTGTAAAATTGATGACATTTTTTCGTGGTGGCTTCAGTTTTATATACCCTTACGTTGTCTTAAAAAGAGCACTATTTTCTCCACATGGGGACGTTTTACTTTTGAACTGGTTACTAAGCTGTGTACTGTGTAATGGTAATCCATATGATACCTCATGCATCAAAACTTTCTTGTTAACTTTACTATCTTTCTCTTCCTCAATGCTAGTTTACTCAATAGAGTCCCTTGCATTAACTATTCTTTTTATAAGGGATTAATAATTCGTTTTCAGTAATAAATCATGTATTTATTATACATCAATATCCCCAAATTTTGTTTTGAAATCGTTATATAGTCTTGCTTATGATCCATATCAACCAAATGCAATACCTATCTTATGTATAGATTCTAAAGAATTATTCTCAATTATTTGCGCAAAAGATAAAACACCATATGATGTGGTTGTAGCCTCCATTGTCAATCAAAAAAAAACAATATATGTTAGAGGCTTTTATTAACAATTGTTGAAAGTCTGTATTAAAATCCCGACTTATTGAATTGCAGTCATATAGTAAATAGAAAATATTATATTATAAAAACATCCTTGTAGAGGTATTGAAATAAATCAGTCTCAGAACTGACTAATCATACTGTATGTATTGAAGAGGGAGTAGCTAGTGTACTACAAAATATCAGCGCAAGATCTGTGTGTCAAAACGTAGTTTAGCATCGGGATCCCTAAATATATTTACTATATAAAATATTAAATTTCTATATAAAATATTTATTTTTTTTTTCTATAAAATATATATAATCTGATTTAGCTTCTTTTATTCTATTTGACAAGAGTTAGCCTATTTGTCGGAATTTAATTAAACGTTGGAGTCTCTGATTATATATTATGTATAAAATATATTAAATTTAATGTAGTTTAACTATGTGGCTTTAATTAAATGTGACCTATTTATCAGAACCTAATCAATAGTCGGGTTTCCTAACTATAAAATCTACAAGGAATTTTTTAAAGTTATATACTTTGTCTAATAATTTATTAGTTGGAACTTATTTAAGCTTCTAGATATTTTTATCTATAAAAAATATACTAAATTTAGTGTAGCTTATTTTCTTCTTTTCTTCTTCTTTGTTCCATTAACTCCTAGTGAAGTATAGGGCATCAATGTAATTTATCTAATTTTTATAAAATGTGGCCAATTCATCGAAACCTAATCAATCGACTGGGTTTCTGACTACAATATCCATAAAGAATACATTAAATTTAATATAGTTTATTCGAAATTAATTAAGTATGGCCTATTTGTTGGTATCTTATCAAACAGTCCGGTTTCTGACTACATAATCTATAGAATATATATTAAATATAGTGTAGTTTGTCTAATTTAAATTAAAAGTGTTCGTCGTTAATAGTCGTCGTGAGTCTTAGAATATAATATCTATAAAGAATATATTACATCTTATATAGTTTGCCTAGTTCTAATTAAGTATGGTTCATATAAATTTAAAATTAAATCATAAATTTAAACATTTTCGATAGTAAAATTTGTAAATAAGTGTACTTGCGCATTTTTTTCTTCCTATTTGTATATGTATATGATTTTTAATAAAAATATTAGTTCTCAATAAATACTATTTTCAATTATATATAACATTTTAAGAATTAAAAAATTGTGAATATCGAAATAAATTAAAAATAATTACTTTTATACTAAAGAGATATAATAAAATATATTTTTGACAATAATTGTTTGAGAACTGATCCAATAAATAATACTAACTTGCTTATTGACTATTTTAACGCACTTTCTAATACATTTCTTTAATCACTATAATTAAATTAATTTATTGTATATTTGTTTTATTTATTAAAGTATTTTAATGCATAAAGGTGGATAACACAATTTGAATTTCGTTAACAACTGTGGCACATCTACCATATATAATATACTATATATTTTCATATATTATCTCGAAATGAAATTTTTTTTAATTTGTATGCACTCTTTTAATTAAAGCACATATTTTTTTACTGTATACTGCATGCACAATACATAAACATTAATACTCTTACATACATACAATATATATATTCATAAATAATCAGCACATATGCATATATAGCAAAGATTCTTAAGCATTTTATATTTTTTTGAAAAAATACAGACACCTGCCAGTGGTTATCCGGGTGCTATAGATGATCTTATATTCTCTGGAGCCGGTTCTGGTTGTCGTGGCGATGATGAAGATGAATGTACACCACCCTTTGAATCGGGCAGTGGTGATGATCTGATAACTCCAGTTTATGTGCCACCTACAAAACAGACTACAACCTCACAAAATGTCAGTACTGATAAGAATAATAATGGCACCGAGCGGGCTTGTGATGACGAGGATTGTGTACATGGATCTGGAGACTACGGTGAGACAACTGAACAATTTACATCCACCAGTACAGCGAAGATAATAGGTAAGTTCTAAAACTAATAATTCTCAAAACGTCAGTGTTGTCATTTCATTGGCACGTCACTCATAACAATTGGTTTGTATTTTTAGTAAATTCTTTTTTAAATTATTAGCTGATATATATATATATATTTAAAAAATTTTTGATAGATTTTTTTTTATTTTATGTATATATATTTATTTTTTTTTTCGATATTTTACAATGTTGTTTTTAATAATTTATTTAAATTTGTTTTAAATAAAAGCTGAGTGGTTGAGGTTCTATATATGCTAAATATATGAAAAAAATGTAGAAGTATAGACAATTAGTCATATTTTTGATTAAATATACTTTACATATCTAAGCATTAATCAAATTTCTTCAAGATTCATTTTCCCTAATACAAAAATTTAAAGCATAATTTTTTGCAAAAAATATACATAGTAGCTCTCTGATTTCATATAACTACATACACATATATTCCTATCTGAGGTCCCATCCTCTAACTAGCATGATAGTATACCTATTTCAAGTTACATTACTATGGTTCTTCAAGAGCCTGTGCTCATAGTTTTTCATTATCAGAGTATTATCTATAAATACGAACATATCAGTTTAATTTTAATGGCTCCTACTCCACTTGGAGTTACGTATTTATCACGCATATAATAAGGCAATTTAAAATAAATAGTATTCAGTTCTTCTATTTCAATATATCAGCCATATATAATATTTCCGTAATATAGTTGAATTTTATTATTATATACACTTATTACTACAAGCATACCTGTTACAGTCAGTATCTATAATACATTAAGACCGAAAAGTTTTCGGAAATTCTCATTTAAAATTCGCGCGCTGTATATTTTTCGATATTTTAAGTTTATGTAGTTTGGCAGCAATGTCCTTAATTACTATGCCAAAAATGAGCGCGATCTGTCAGACAGTTCGTTTACGGCAGCTGTTGAAACCAGTTCACCTCAGTAGGGCGTTGCGAAAAAAACAATGGAAAAAAATATTGAACAAAGAGTTTGCATCAAATTTTGTGTTTCGAACGAAATTTCGTGTGCAGAATCGTTGCGAATGCTACAAAAGGCTTATGGGGAATCAGTTTTATCGAAAACTCAAGTTTATGAGTGGTACAAAGCCTTCCAGGACGGTCGTACGACCGTCGAAGACATTTCGCAACGCACTACTGAGGTGAACTGGTTTCAACAGCTGCCGTAAACGAACTGTCTGACAGATCGCGCTCATTTTTTGCATAGTAATTAAGGACAGTGCTGCCAAACTACATAAACTTAAAATATCGAAAAATATACAGCGCGCGAATTTTAAATGAGAATTTCCGAAAACTTTTCAGTCTTAATGTAAACTGTTCCTCATTTTTAGTTGTTGTACATTAAAATAAAAATTTATTTTTTATACTTTCCCAGCTTTTTTATATGCCAAATATCTATTATATATAATATATTACATCTTGCGTTTGCTATTCATAGTTGAATTTAGAGCAGGTTGTCCTTGCGTTTTTATTATTAAAACCTGCCTATGGCTAAGTCGATACTTTAACTTGTGTATTCACCACATTACATTGAAACAACCTTCGTAATCATAAACATGTCCACGCCCATGGCCACTTCTAAACCAGTTTGTATTATGTTGCCATTATCTCTTTCAGAAAATGAACTCTTCATATTTCTGACTGTGCTCGCGCAATGGAAACTTATGTTCCATATAATGAATTTGTAGAAATCCACAGTGTTACAAAAAGAGAGAAAAAGAAAGAAAGAAAGAGAGAGAGAGAGAGAGAGAAAGAACTACAGGCAGCAGCAAATACAATGTAGAAAAGAGACTAAGACTCTGATATGAATCGAAATTGAATAGTTTAGAACTCAATGTACATATATATATTTTGCTAGCACCGATGTGTATGTGTGTTCCTCGATTATTGTGTGTAATAAGAATAAAGTACAATATATCAAATATTATATATCTAATAACAAAAATATGCAATGTAAATACTACAATATATAATGTTAATGTTTTTATGTTAATTTTTGATTTATTTTTATTAAAAAACTAATTACCTCCACAGGTATTGTACAGTTTATTGTGTATTTGTTAATTTGTGTTCACGTACAAAATTCAATAAAATTAATTAAATAAAAAATTTTAAAAATATTAAATGTGATAATATCAATTATTCTATTATTCTATATTGATTTCTTATTAATTAATGAACTTTCAATCACTCAAATGTTTTGTGTTACGTTATAATCAAGAATGAAAAATCCTTTTTTGCTATAGGAATCCTTTTTTATTATCAACTCAATCACTAATTACTTTGTTATGGTATTTCAGAAACCAATAATGAAATTATATCAACTACTGATGGTTCATCAAGACGTACTGAAGTTGCTGTTACTACAGAGCAACAACACACCACTAGCACTGCTGTTGCCAAAACAGAGTTGCAAACAAACACACCACGAGAGATAGCTACCACAACTAGCGGCACCATATATTCACCACGTCAAACAACAACACAATTTTCCCCACCCACAACAACCACTCAACGTATAACAACAACCACAACTACAACAACTACAACCACACAAGCAACACCACCACCAGAAATACGTTCTACTGTCACAGAGCATGATACGACCACTTACGATATAGTACATGTTTTCAGTGGTGGAAACGGTGACAAGCATGGTGAAGATGAAAATTTAAATATTTATAATGGTGAACACACTTTGACACCGGATGAACGCCCACTACCGCCAGCTATACCACCATATGAACCAGAATCTGGTGTGCCACCGTATTATCCAGCCATACCGCCACCTCAACCACCATATGGCAATAATAATTATCGGCCAAAGGGTAAAGGTGGTCGCATTAACTCGATTGAAGAAGAACGTACTGCCATGATTATTGGAATTGTAGCTGGTATTTTAATAGCAGTCGTATTAGTTTTCATACTGGTGTTCTGGTTGAAATCTTATGGTGATCGTGGTTACAAACCAGAGAGTGAAAAAGCTACTGCATACGGTTCACACAACCCAAATGCAGCATTGCTGGGTTCTACTGGTTCAAAAGGTTCCTATCCACGTCAGAGTCATCATCAGCAGTCATCTCAACAATCACTGACCAATGGGCATAATATGGGTAGTAGTGGTGGTAACGGTAGCATGATGGGTAACATGGGCTACGGTGGTATGGGTACTAGTATGGCTGTTGGGAACGTAGATGGTCGACCACAAATGGCTGGTTTAGTGCAACCAAAGCCAAAGAAACGAGATTCAAAAGATGTCAAGGAGTGGTATGTGTAAATTGTAGATTTGACCGCTATATATAGGTCATGTACTATGTACTC